AAAAGGAACCTTTAGTGTCAAATGTTAATACTAACACTTTGGTTTCTCAGTGTAATATTTCTGTTTGGAAAAAAATACTTTACTACAAACATGTACTGGTTTAGCTTGCAACGAAAACGAAAACTAAAGTTGTTCGTATCCTTCTTGATCCAAGGTAGCGAAAGATCGTTTATTAAAGATACCTTAGCGAGATCTTTAAAATTAGAGCCTATTCGAAACGAAAAATTGTCTGTTTTTTCGTTTGGAACTAAGAAACCAATAGTTGAGAATTATGTGGTCGTAATGGATAGAAACGAAAAGAATAAAATAAAATTAGAATGCCTAGTAACTAACACGATATCAGCTTGTCGCATAAAAAGTCCCAGGCGTAGCGCACTCTCGAAAAAATGAAGCTCTGAGGTTTACATTCAGCAGAGATTTAAGTGTAAACAGCAATGAAGAATTACAACATGTGGGAATAGTAAGTGGTGCCGCCGACAGATTCTGGGATGTAGTACTTACAAGTCAGAAACGCATAAATAAACACATCCAAGCTGTAAATTTCATTTTTGGATGGCTGTTAGTGGGAAATAAAAAAAAAAAATAAATAAACTAAAGGAAGGAAATGATTCAAAGCACTTTGCAGTAATGGTAGGGAATGCCTCGTTGTCAGATGATTTAAGCGTGTTTTGGCAACTCAATTCAATGGGAATAATAAGTGAAGGGCAAAATGAATTTAATCAAACTGATAACGATCTAATCAGCCGTTTTAAAAGAGATATAAGGTTTAAAAACAGGCGATACAAATGTAAATTATTGTGGAAATCTACTACGGAAGAATTGGGAAATAATTTTGATATCGCAAAAAAGCGGTTTGAATTTTTAAAGCAAAAATTACAGAAAACTCCAGAAATATTGCAGAAATATAGGGGAATTATCGAAGAGCAGTTAAGGGAAAATATAGTCGAAAAATGCCCTAATGAAATTAAACTTTCACAGTATTATATGCTGCACCATGCTGTAATTCGCGATTCTGAGACTACTAGTGTCCGTGTAGTTTTCGATGCTTCTTCGAAGATCGGAAACTTCAAATCCTTAAACGAATGTCTAGAAACCGGTCCAAATTTGAATCTGAATGTTTTTGACGTGATCCTGAAGTTTCGTGAACCTGAAATAGCATTTTGTGGGGACATAGAAAAGGCATTTTTAATGATTAGCATTGCAGAAGAAGATAGGGATTACTTAAGATTTCTTTGGTTTGGGAATGATAAGAAATCATGTTATATTATGCGCATGTGTCGGATTCCTTTCGGTAGAGCGGTTAGTCCCTTTCTGTTGGCTGCTACAATATCACATCAAAGGGTATAAAGAGAACCATCCCGAGAGTTTTAAAATGCTTAATTCTTCTATTTACGTTGATGACTTATTTTATGGAGGTAAAATTGTAGAAGATGCATACCGATTGTCTGTAGATGCTGTAAATATTTTTTGCGATGCGGGTATGAATTTGAGAAAACTGAAATCGAATTCAGATGAATTAAATACATTATGGAAGAAGTCAAATATTAAAGGGGAAGATGATTTCAATAAAGAAACAAAATTTTTGGGCATGATTTGGGATCCTAGTAACGATGTAATAAAATTAAACATGAAACCAGTTCAGGAGTCAATTGGAAATGGTGAAGGCGACACAAAAAGGCTGATATTTGCAACCATTTATAGTTCGGGTTAAGATCATTTTACACGACATTTGTCTTCTGGGTTTAGAATGGGATGCTGCGCTTCCCACAGATATCAAGAAAAGGTGGTTGAACTGGTGTGCAGAAATGGAATGTTTAAAAACTCCTGAATTCCCTAGAAAGTTCTTTCATAAAATTAATTACACGCAGCTGAGCGTTCATATATTTTGTGATGCGACACCTAGAGCTTTTGGAGCAGTGGCATATTTTAGATACACTGATGAAAATAAGGAAATTAAAACCAGTTTCATAATGGCAAAAGGCAGAATATCTCCCCTCAAATCTTTAACTCTCTCCAGATGTGAGCTAATGGGAGCTGTTGTAGCTGCTCGCTTAGCTAAGTATTTAAAACACGTTTTACCTATGTTAAGCAACAATATTATCTTTTGGAGTGACTCCCAAATAACGCTACATTGGATAAGGAAATCACCAAATGTCTGGAAGCCATTCGTTGGCAACCGTGTAGGCAATTTGCAACGCTAACCAGTGGTACCGTTGCAGTAGCAAAGAAAATCCTGCAGGTCTATTGTCTCGAGGGGAATGAGCTGAGACCATCATCTTCAGTCCATTGTGGCAAAACGGACCAAGTTGGCTTATCCAGCCTGAAAATTTGTGGCCTAAAAGACCGAGCATGGAAGAAAATGAGGAAGAGATATCCGTAGAAAAGAGAAAGATTCATAATGTCCTACAAGCTGTTATTAACAAGGACTCTGAGCAAAATTATTATTCATTGCTCAATTTAAATCAGTTTAGTAAATTAAACAAGGTATGCCGAATAACAGCGTGAATATATAGGTTCATCAACAATTCTAACCCTAGATCCGAAAGACTTTGTGGACCATTAACCGCTTCTGAAATAATGAATGCAGAAAAATATTGGATTAAAAACACGCAATTTCAATATTTCGAAAAGGAAATCCTCGGTTTATCTCAAGGAAAGTCAGTTGACAAAGGTTCCAATATTTACTCGCTGAATCCTGAGCTCGATGAAGACAGACTTCTACTGGTTAAAAGGCAGAATACAATTTGCAGACTGTCTGGAATCTGTCAAGCGTCCATGAAAATACTTCCGTCAAAGTGTTGATACGTCGATCTTGTTAATTGTCAACGTACATGAGAAGGGTATTTCAATTCCGGAGTGGACTCAACTCTGATGCACCTGCGCGAAAAATTTTGGGTTGTCAAAGGCAGACAGCGAATTAAATCTTTGTTGAGCAGATGCGTGATTTGCAAAAGATACAGTGTTCGCCCTGGAGTTCAAGACGTAGCTCCACTTCCTCCAGATCGAATTCTTCAGTCGCCACCGTTCACTGTAACTGGATTGGAGTATGCTGGACCATTTTTCACTAAAGAGAGCAACAATAAAAATTACCTTTTAGTATTCACTTGTGCAGTAACGAGTGCTATTCATTTAGAACTGGTACCTTCGATGAGTACTTATTAGCCTTTAGAAGATTTATAGCGCAACGAGGATTGTGCTCAATTATATACAGTGACAATGCAAAATCATTCAAACGTGCAGACACTGAACTAAAAAAACTGTGGACTTTTCATTTCTGATCCTTCTGTAAAGAATTTCTTCTCTTCTCGCAATATTCATTGGAAATATATAATTGAAAGAGGAGCATGGTGGGGAGGATTTTGGGAAAGAATGATCAGAACGACCAAACAAGTCTTAGAAAAATTCGTTGGCCGTTCATCTCTCTCTAAAACTGGAAAACAGTGTTCGTTAAGACTGAAGCCATGATCAATTCAAGGCCCATTACTTACTTATATAGTGAACCTACAGAACCCTCTCCACTCACTCTTGCACATTTTTTGATAGGTAGACGTTTACTATCCCTTCCTCCAACTAGAATAACTAAGGATGATTTATCAGGATCGAGAAAATCTATTGTGAAAAAATTCAATCATCAGCAGAATATATTAAATAATTTTTGGAAATGCTGGCGAAAGGGTTATTTATTAAATTTAAGATCTGCTAATATGTGTCAGCAAAAATTCAAAGGCAACTGAATTCAAACCAAATGATATAGTGTTAATCTCTGAAGAATGCTAACTAAGAAATATGTGGTCTCTAAGTAGAATTATAGAGACTTTCCCTGGAAGGGACGACAAAGTTCGCTCATGTTCGATCAAAACTGTCAATGGACTAATAAGAAGGCCAATTCAACTGATTTGCAATTTAGAGCTCAATGACCGAGTCTAAAATTTAAAAATTTACAGTATGATATTCATAAGAATGAAACTTTATTTTTGTGTTCTTTTAATTGTTATGTGCTAATAGTATATTTATTCCTCTATTCTTTGTATTAATAGTTTATTCAAGAAAGCTTTGTATGGAAAACTTGTTTAGAAGATCACATGTAAAAATATGGTAATTACTTTATTGCAATGTGATTGATGTAAATCCAAATTATGGAAATTGGTAAGTATTGTTATAAACTCTATGTTTAGAGTTTAGGTGGGGAGTGTTGAGAAATGCCTATAGAGGGCGCTGTACCCCGCCTGGCTCTTCAGTGTAGAATTGCTTAACTAATGAGTAAGAATGCTTGTAAGGAAGTTCCCGGCCCTGATAATTAACGGCACAATTAATACTACACTTTATTTCAGTAATCATGTAAATAAATTCTTTGTTATTGTGTTCAAAACTGAGCCTTTCATCCCTTATTACGTACAAACTGAACCACCAAGATAGTTACAAGTTTTGGATTAGTAAAATACTTATAAAAACACAATAATAGATCACTTTCATTTTTTCTGAAGTTTTTTTATTTTGTATGATTCATTTTGATACACATCAGACTGTCAATGCATATAGTGAGAATAAAGGCCAATATTTTAATCAATCAGTTTTCATTTAATGTGAAAATTGATTTGAAATCAATGATTAAATTGAGAATGTTCTAATATATTCGAAGTAATTTTTCATTGTTTTAGAAGTCGAATTCATGACGATGATTAAAAAGTCTTTATCACCCACTTGGAGACCTTAAAACATGACTAAAGAATTAAAATGTTGCTATTATAGTAATAGTAGAAAATGAGACTTAAGTAAAAATTTCATATCCAGTTGGAGGCATAGCCATTTTTAATATTAAGAAAAATGAAACAAGATTCTTGAAATTTGAAATATTAAAACTCCGAGTGCCTTCTAAAGTAATTCTAAAATTTCCAGAGTCTAAAAAACTATAAGTAAAATTATATAAGCAGTATAAGAAAGAAAATTTGAAATTGTAAGTTAGAGCACATTTTATTCATCAATATTTCACAAATACTAACCTTTGCTATGTAATCAGGATCTGCAGGTATAGCTCCACATAGAGGTGGTGGTAATTCAGTTGATTTGCCAATCCACAGCGGCAAACTAATACCATTTTGTAAAATCTGTGACATTAATGCTGCTTTGCCTTTTGCTCTCATAGATTTTTCTAAATTTCAAAATAGTTTAGTCATGATTAAATTTCAAATAATGAGAACAAATTTTTAGTAAATTAACACTTTAAAAACAGTATAATTTAATTCTAAATAATAGATAATAATTCTAGATAAATAAAATGTAATTCTTCCACAGACTCATAAAATTTGTCTAATTTTTTCACATTCATAAAATTGAATTTGTGATGATATAATTTTGTTCATTGCAGTTAATTTGATATAAGTACTTGACTAGGAAAATCACAAATGATTTTTCAGTCATACTATGTACATTGAAGTTAGAAGAGCACAGAAATGCCATTACATCATAGAAGATGCTGAGAACATTTGAATTGCAAATCACTTGATAATCCAAACATATCTTTATTACTTGTTGATTACTTTATGGCATGGCACATCACAATGGGAACAATCTGCACCCCACAATTTTGATTGTGATGCATTACATTTTTAACAATGAATAGAAGCAGCCAAGCATGAGATGTCCTTTAGTTAGCAAGCACGTGCAGCAAAAAAAAAAAAAAAAAAAAAAAAAGTGCATTTTGAGTCTTGACTACCGTATTTGACGGCATATGAGACGCACCCTTATTTAGATGGCCACACACAAGTAAAAAAAGTTTCAATAGTGTGCTTCATGTATAAGACGCAGATAACTTTTTTGAGACCAAATTTAGGAAAAAAAGTGCATCTTATATGCCGTCAAATACGGTATATGATAAATTGAGTAATGGTAGCAAAGCTCCCTGTACTTGGTATGAAATACAAAATATATATTGAAAATTATCAGTAGAATTGCAAGACTTCATTTGAGGAAAACTCCCATGGAGGTCTAAGTTAAAATTTGTGGTATCCAAGCAGAGGCAATGTCAGAGAAGAAATTCAAAACAGGAGATTAGATATATCGACTCAAAGTCTACAAAAGCAGAGCTGTTGGCAGGATGAATGTATTGTTCTAGTTGGAAAAGGATTGTGTATTTGATTAGAGATAATTGCATTTGAATGGCATTAATTGCATTTCAATACTTTGACCATAATAATTTTCAGCTTGCTTGAATCCTACATAGTGACAGGGCAAGAGTTTTTGCTTTCGGCTACTGTGGGAAAGTGATGCAAAGCAAAGGGAGTATGTTCTGATGATTTAAAATGAATAATTTAAAGGTCTATTATCAATTTTTTCCAATCGAGTTTAATTTGTTAATAAATTTCTTTCATACTTTTATATCTCACACACACGCACAGATATATGGAAATGCAAAGAAAAAACCTTAAAATTTATAGAATTTCGAAATTTACGTAAAAAGTAAAATCTTGTACTACTGCTTCTAAGACAGATATTTCAGAAAAGAAATATTATTTCTAGCAAGTGCTTGAAATATCCCTCATTCTCCGAGATTGTTACCATTCTTGGACATGCAATTTATTTTGAGCAAATTTTTGCAGTTGACGAAAACAGTATAATGTGGCAGTTAAGGGAAAAGGAATCACAGTTAAAATTTATGGTATTTACTCATGCATTTTCCTTCTAGCTTTTTAGTGAAAGATTCTGAAAATTTGTTAAACATTCATGCAATTTTCCCCTTTTTCAAGACATTCAGAAAGCAAGCACCCCTAATTTTAAAATAAATATGTTCACATAGTGGTTGTTTTCATCTTACTATGTGATTTGCTTACAGATTTTGGGTGTAACATTACCTCTTACCATATCTGAAGAATGGAATCAGCTGAAAACATGACTCAAATGCCTTTTTCTTGCAGATTAACTATAGCAAATATTCAATGGTATCATTCAACAGAGGCTATTAATCTTTTTCATCATTTCATTTTTTCTCACAGACAAGTTCTTAACACATAAAAAAAAAAAAAAAAAAAAAAAAAAAAAAAAAAAAAAACATTAAAGGGAAGTATACAAGCCTGTATATCAAAGGTGGCCAAACTTTGTCAGTAGGTGCAAATGTAGAATTTGGAGAAACAGAGATTCACAAGTAAGTTTATTAACAGCTGTAATTATTTATTTATATCATTATATCATTTATAAGCAATACAGCAGTTTTTAAACAGAAAGAATTGTTTCAAATAATTCATCAATGATACTGCATTTTATAATTAATGCAGTTACTTTAATTAATTATAATTTTATAAGTAAATATACACACATAATTCTTATTGCTCTTGCTCTATATTCTGTAAAGTATGTTTCTATGAAACAAACCTTTGTAAAATGTACTGCACATTCTTTATCAGGCAAAACACTGAGTATTCTCTTCTGTTTTCCAAATTTTTTTTTTCTGAATACCCTCATCAATTATTTTAATAAGAATATATTAAAAAGAAAGAAGCAATCTTATATAATGATATAAATAACTTTTCATTCTCAGAGAAGAATAATGCAGTGATATGTAAAACAGAAATAGTAACTCTAAAGAATTGAAATGAGACTCTGTGAATACAGAAACTGCAATTAAGAAATGAGATGAGACAGTGTGAACACAGAAACTGCAATTCAGAACTGAGATAAGACAGTGTGAATACAGAAACTGCAACTAAGAACTGAGATGAGACAGTATGAACACAGAAACTGCAATTCGATTGCATGGAAAATTACTTAAAACTAGATCTGCAAAAAATTACAAAGTTACATGAGAAATAGTGATAAATAGGCTAATCATATGTAATGTTTATACAGAGGTTCCCTAAGTGGACAAACTGTAGGTGTTGAATTCTGTAGGTGGGCTGAATGCTTTATCTGAAAACGATAATTTTTTTAGCAAAATATTTTAATGAAGCAGAAATAAATAAAATTTTAAATTTCACTCACAGAATATTTATCGAAATATACATAAACAATAATAATACAAAAGGAAAAAATTGAAATTTATACTTATTTTCTATTGTATTTATTTAAAAATTCTTATCTGTAAGAAATTTCTATTGATTACATTTTGTAACTCAAATGCACTGACAGCTAAATATTAAATTTTAGACTGACATTTTTTTTCAGGTAATTCCAATATGTTAAATTAATCAGTAAATAACTTACTTTTAATTTTAAATGGATATTTCAGAATAATGAAGCAGCACCAGCTATCAGCTGGCAAACTAAATTTACTGACTGTACTAATGTGATAAATACTTCCACATTTTGCTAATCACATGCCCTAATGACCAAGCATATAATGATTAACATGTAACTAATGTAACCCAGACATTAATATTATTTCAAAGCCTCCACTAAGATAAAAGTATGTATTAAAGTTGATCATAGTTTTCCTAGCATCAGCTATGTCATATACTGGTGGGTACTAAGAAGATTTCGGGAAACACTGTTGATCTTAGGGATGGTAAGTAAGTGTTGAGAAGTAACTGCACAGTACACACAAACTTGAAAAATTAGATTAATTTTGTAAACAAATCTATAAACATTCACCTGATTATAGATATGTATTTTTATAAGAATATGAAAGCAAATCAGTTGATTCTCCATTCACATTAATCCAAGCTATACAAATGTGCCCACCAACTGATCATAGAACTCTATTTAGAAGCATGTTAGGAAAGTTCGATTCCCATTTGAAGAAAGAAAAGAATGTTTCTAAGATTCCCTCCCATGTGAACATTGACAATGTTTCTTTATTATTTACTAGAAATATTCTCCTCCCCTTTTTGATTTTTTCTGCTCCATGTAACATTTAAATAAGTAAGACTGCAGCAAAATTTTACCAAAAAAATGAAATAAAACAATGCATCTCAGCAGAACTGACTACCTTTTTTTTTATATATGGATTAAGTTTTTTTTTTTTTTTTTTAAATCCATGTATAGAAGCATAACACAAGGAACAGCTTAATGTGGGTATACAGCATGTGTGTAAGTTCATTGTTTTTAGCAAGGAAACATGAAATGCAAGTTATAAGCTATCAGTTTAAAATTCTCAATATCCAAATATAAAACTAGCATGCTCTTTCAGTTTAATGCAAGTTTGTAAATTCAATATGCAGGCAACAACAAGAATCTAGACTCATTGCTATACTATTGCTATGTAAGACATATTTAGTCATTACCAATTTGTTTTCAAATTCTGTGATAAGGTTTAACATGTACAATAAATAGATAACTAAAAATTTCAAAACACATTCACTGCATACAAATAATTCATCACTGTTGCAAGAAAGAAGCACTGCACAAACTTAACCATTAAGGATATTTATATTGAAGAAGTACCTAAAAGCACTTAAAATGAGTAATAAAACTCTGTGACTGTGTTAGATATAAAATGTAACATATCATTTACAAGTTTTAAATTCCATTGGTATTTTCTGATTATCCCTGCCCTGCCCCCCCCCCCAAAAAAAAAAACCAACCACCTCCTGGCTGACTGATTTTCTAATGAAGCTAATATGCAAAAGGTAACAGCTAATTTGAAAATGATGGTTCATTAGTCCACAATAATATTAATAAAGCATGAAACATAATGTAATAAAGCACTTAACATTTGTATTTAATTTTTTTCTGTGTACACTGTAATTTATTTTCACTTAAAAAAATCAAAGAATTGCATAAATCTGGCATTGTGCACATTATCTTACTTCCCATGCATACAAAGATCTGTTTTTGCTTTTAAAAAATCACAGAATTGCGAAAATTTTGGCATTGTGGAGACTGTTATGCTCCTCATGTACAGAATGATTGGTTTTTGCTTTAAAATCACAGAGAATCGTGCAAAGTTCAGTCTATAAAATTGAGTCATTTAGGAAGTACAACTTCATGGAATGTGAACATTTTCAAACACCAATGGCAGACAAAATGCAATACTTCTGAAGAAAGGCAATGCTTTTTCATCAGCCCGCAAACTTCCACACTTCTATTAGAATTCCTCAAAAGGGGGGAAAAAAAAAAAAAAGATGCATCGTTAAATTTGAAAGTGAACTGCCTTACTCGTCTGCTGCAGATATTTGAGTTGCCACATAAATACATTTTGCCAACATCATAGGTTGCCTATTTTGGCAATACAATGTGTAGCTTCATGAATAAATTTTAAAATATAACACACAGCATATACAAAACTTTTCTCACTAAGCATACACAAAATTTTTATCTCTCTCTCTCCCAAAAGCACTTTTGATTTCTATATTAAAATAAATGTAATATAAAACAAATATGTAAATAACTAACCACCCTTTTTTGAAGCAACTGTTAAAAACTGATATTTGTGCTGTTCCTGAATAAGTTCCAAAGCTTTCTTGACTAAACTGATTTCTCGCTGTATATCTTTTCGTGCTTTATCATGTTTGCTGCTCAATTTATGAGTTTGCAAAATTGCCTTTCTTGGATCTTCTTCAATCTCGTCATAAATCCTGCAGATAGAATTTATAGTTTCAGCATTTTTCCTTCTTTCTTCCTAAAAAATTTTAAATAATTTTTTTTTGAGGGGGAAGGAGGCATGCTCTATTAATTTTATAATTAAAAAAACTACAAGACATTTTACTATACGGTAATTAAATTAATCTGAATTAAATAGGAAGAAATAAAAAATCATAGTGATTAATTATTCTAATTGAAAAATGCTTTATTTATAAGCATACATAATCTATATAGTATTATACCATATGATATATGGAAAAACATTTCAGTGAAACAGCAGACGTGATATTTCTGAATTTTTCTTGTAATCCAAACACAACGTACTTAAATGGATAAGTAAATATAGTTGAATAAGCGAACACTGCAGTCAAGTCATAGATAAATGGGAAGCTAGAGGAAGGGAGTTTTCCCTTCTGATTTGTGGAGAAATGTGAGGGCCGTTTGTACAATTTTGAGTTTTAAATGTTATGTTATATAAAAAATAAAATATATGTTAATAGGTGGGTTATGAACATACATTTTTAGAGAAATTATAAATTTTTCTTAGGTTTAAAATACTGACAGAAAGAGGGGTATGAAACTTCTAAGCAGCTTATTAGAAAACAATTGCATACAGTTAACCAAACTGTATGCAATTGTTACTAAACAATAAAAATTTAACTTCTGTTACACTCTTCAAATTTGAATTTTATTTACATTTATTTCAAACTTTCCTATCAAGCAACTGTTTTAAAGTAACTGTATACTTTACAAAATATTTTATACGAATAATCTATGACAAATAGTGGGTTTGAATCCCAACAACAGGCAGGATGCATAAGGTATTTGTAGTCCTGCAAATGTTGCATGAATAGGTGACAGTTTTCCTTAGAAAGTCCTACACAAAGGCTCTTTTTAGCTATAAAGCTTCACTGGGCTGTCATATATCCATTATGATTTGTAATAATTATTTGAAAATGTAATTTTGACATTTTCAGTTATTATTTTCCCTCTGATACACTCCTTTCTAGAATTGAGTAGATGATGATTAACATTTTTTTTAGGTTCATTTAAAGAATTTAGCATAGATATTTCTATTTCAATTAAAAAGCACGAGTCACAAAAAGCTAATATATGCTGGAAACAATAATAAGTTTTTTCCAAACAGAATTTGTATGTATAAAAAAAATTTGAAATTTGGGTCTTTAGTGTGAGGCTGTAATATATTCAGAAAGATATACAAAAAAGCTTGATTCTAATAATGATTTACATGTTTTCTGAACACAGAAAAATTTCCTTCTTATAATTTCAGTTTTCATGGAAATTTTCTTAAATAGTCTTCTGAATATAAATTAATTTATAAATTTCTAATCTTATGAATATTTACACTGTTTTTGCTTTGATACTGAAAATAAACTTGTACATAAATTTCTGCCATAAGCCAATTCCTTATAAGTCATCCATCAATAAAGTATCATTCTTTAGCCCTCTACGAAGTTAAGAAAATTTTTAATTTCTTGCTTGACAGACAATGAGTTCAACAGGCTAAAAATAAACTAAATATTTTGAAAGAATTTACTTTACAGGTTGCTATTATGACGTTATATTCCTTTATAAGTTGCTATTATTTGCCGTTTTTAAATTTTGAATCTAATACTACTGAATAGAAGTTCTTTTGGTACTTATGTATTAACGCAACCAGGCCAAAATTCGCATAAATTGCCAAATTTGGCGACCCTACTTACGGCAACCCTACGTGTTATACGTAGTTTTGTAAAAAGAGCATGTGGAAACCATGTACACGTCGACTTATTTTTACTTAAAAAACATCCCAGAATTGCACAAAAATGGCATTGCGCACACGCTTGACTTTATCCATGTACACTGCTATTTTCTCATAATTACAAAAATTTCACGAAAATGCAGGAAAAGATTCAAAAAATTTCCTGCATTTCGTGCAAATTTTTGTAATTTATGAGAAAATAGCAGTGTACATGGATAAGTCAAGAGTGTGCGCAATGCCCTTTTGTGCAATTCTGGGATGTTTTATTAAGTAAAAATAAGTCGACGTGTACATGGTTATGGCAATACGGTTTTCAATTAGTGCTAAAGCATAGCCAAAAGATTTCCGCCGAAAAAAATTCTGCAACTTATTCAAATTTGAAACCGGAAGGGTTTAATTGCTATTTTATATTTTAAACAAATATATAAAAACTGTATTAAAAATTATCTGTAATTAATAAATGTACATTTTCTTTCTATTCATACTTTTTTACTCAAACTTACAAATCACGCCAACCTGGTTGCAATAATACGTAAGTACCGTTCTTTTCTATTTCACTTATTATGTAAGCATGAATACTAGTAACACTGAATTAGAACTGTTACATAACCAATCAAAACAAAACAAGAATTCAAGAATAAAGTGCATGGTGTGGCAGGTTCTTCATCTTTTAATTAAATCTTATACACAAGGCATGCTAAAGCCTAAATCAAATTATAAAATTTAAAAAGTAGGAACTCAATCATTCCATCAAATATTTTTAATAGCTGATCATACCACACAATGCAGTTTGAATTCTGCAACAAAGAAGAATGAAACATAAATTGATGTTTCATTCTTCTATGTATGTATATTCTATGACTATGTAGAAATTGCTACATAGTCACATGTTCAGAAGAGGAGACATTAAATAAATCAAACAGATGGACTTGTAACATAGTCCTGTAGTAACTTATTCTTTTGGCAATATCAACAAATATTTCTCCACACAATCTCCACTTGGACTTTGACAAAAGTTTATCTAACTTAATAACATAAATCATATGCTTTTCCATAACATAAAAAAATTATAATCAGTCGAAAAGTTCAATTACAAAAAATAGGCTATACATAACCTGTAATGGTACTATTCGGTTTTGAGGGCCGTAAAAAATCGCCAACTATTGTTGATGCCAGTGCTGCCCAAAATAATTGTGGCAAACCTAACGTAAGAAAGGAAGTGTAATAGTAAATAACTAAGATTAATGTTTTAATTTAGATGAAAGATTAATTTCATATAATACTTTTTTATTATTATAATTTATATTAAAAAAGGCTAAACATGACTGAATGGAAGCATTAGAGAAAACTATTTCAGATCATTATTATAATTTATATAAAAATTGCTAAGCATAACGGAATGGATGCCTGCATCGCTATTTCACTACCGAGTTATTGCTAAAGCATAATTTCACCTCATTGGTTTAATTTTCATAGTAAAATCAAAAACACAAGACATAATTTACTATAATGAATGATGCATTTTCTTTGAAACAATTCTCGGTAAAGTGCAGAATTGCCCACTTATTTGTTTGCCGCTTTTTACAAGAGTAAAAACAATTGGATCTTTGACAATTTTCTTTTACCTTTTAAGTGAAAATAGGTCGATGTGTGCATAAATAAAATCAAGGGTGTGCGCAGTGCCATTTTTGTCCAATTCTGGGTTTTTTTTTTTTTTTTTTTTTTAAGTAAAAATAGGTCGATGTGTACATGGATACCAAGTATGTGCAATTCTTAAAAATGTGTCAAGCAGTAAGTGATTCTGCACTTTACCCAAAATTCTATAGCACACTTTTCATCATGGGCAATTCCCAAATTGTTAAATCCATAGGATATCAAAAAAGGATTTAAAAATTAAACTAGTATTTGAATGGTGTCTTAAGAAATATAGAACTATCTAAACTTGCGCAATTTGAAATCAGCGCGTGAGCTAGATTTGGCGCTTTTGCGCATACATTTTCGTTACAATTTTTTTACGGTTCTCAAAACCGAATAGTACCCATGTAACAATTCGTTTATGTTATGACTAAAAAAAGGTAAGCAAATGGTTAAATGGTTCCTGAACTAAATTAATTTAACCAATGATATTCAATTTACTCATTGAGAAAAAGGAAAAGAAATAAAAAATATAATCACAAAATCATTAAAGTTCAAAATCTGTCTGAAATTCAGAGTTCAAGAGTATATAGGTAGTATTAGGCAATATGTTTCAAAGTCCTATTACCAGTTTTTATTTCAAAAGATTAGGCTTTTTTTTTTTTTTTTTTCTGTGTCTGTGAAGTTTCCAAAACAGTTTGTTTTTATGTCACCTTCAACTAAAACAGTATCTTGCACTTATTGAAATTTGGGATTCTTCAAGTAATGGCTGTTCTAATAAATATATCTGCTTCCACCAATACCACGACTATTTCAACAGCAATTCTTGACAAAGTTTTCTTTTAACCCTTTGACGGTGGTTTTTTATCAGTTTTTATCTCCCAGATAAGAGCTGCAAAATTCCATTTAAAATACATACAATTATCCTTTTAGTTCTCTAAATGTAAAACAAATGGCAGCACTAGTATTCATTCATGGAAATAATGTAAAATAAAAATTCTTTGCATGTCTAATTTTGAAGCAGTTTATTTATTTATTTATTTCTAATGCAATTTAAATCGTCTGAACAACAACTTTTGGTGTTAGAATGAATATTTTTATGTGAAAGTTTCCTTTTCTAAAAAAAATATATTACTTGAATTCCTATATATTAATTAAGAATAGTTGAAATTAAAAGGTAGGACCAAATACGTCTCACCGTGCATGTAGGAATTGTGGCTACTAGATGGCAGCACCGTTCAAACATTTTTAAATTCAAGTATCATGTTTGTTTTATATGTTGATAATGCAAATTTATATTTTTTAATAAATTGCAATAATGTTAAAATTTGAAAAATATTTAGTATTTTGTCTGAAAGAAATTGAAAATATAACTCTAACATGAAATGTCATTGAATACTGAATGGATATGTGAGTATGATTCACCATAGAAAATTATCCTAAGCAGAGGAAAGAGAGGTGAAATGTAAATAAACATAACAGCCTTCTAAATATCTTCCTTTTCAAACCTGTAGCAAATAAAGTACTGGAGCAAAAATCTTCTCTGTTTCAAATCTATTATGAAATCATTAAAAAATATCTAAAAAGTTGTACACAGAGCAATTTTTTAAAAATTATGTAATTTTTTTTGAAAAAATATTTTTTTATTTTGCAATACTTTCTAGATAATTATTCAAAAACGTTTTTTATATCTTACATTTTCATTTGGTTGCTAAAACCAGCACTTTAGATCAGCATGTTAAGAGAATTTACCCTGAGGCAAAGATGCCATTTTACTGCTCTTGTCGCGAGCAACTCAACGATTGTATAAATGCAATTTCTTAAAAGGTTAAGTTTTTACGGTTTGGCAACATTGTATCATTTTTTTTTTTATGTTTAGAAAAAATGAAGCAAAAATGCACCATGACTTTGCATTAAGATAGATTGCCTGTTTTATAGCGAATTAATTAAGATTGATTGCCTGTTTTACAGTGAATTAATTGGGTGGATTGCCCATATTACTTGATTATAAGTTTCTTTTAATGGAGTACCAACTGAATGAACAAAATTCAGGTAGAGTCTTGTAACAGCTCTAGATGTGCAGTGGGACAAGCAAGCAGTATCCCACCATGTCATGAATTACCTTAAAGGTTTACCCATTTCTTTTTCGATGAAATAACATTGTATTAGGGGCTAGTTATCTATGTGTAAAGTTATTTTTTACCAAAAAAATTTTTTTATGCACCGAACCTCAAAGGGTTAAAGAGTGTTTCTCTTGTTTCACTACCAATGATTCTTGCAAAAGTCAAAGGACATTTCAAATTGGTTTGTCCAATAATTAGGAAGTGCATTGGAGTTAAAGGTCATCGAACTCCATCATAAACATAGCTCAGAGGTCATGAATTAAGAACTGACTCTACTTTATTAAGTAATGTAGACATTTCTTCAAAGTGCAACAATACTTTTCCTACAATTTCTCTAATAGATCTAACAAGTTCCTTATAAAACCCTCCCCACCATGGGGCTCACTTGATTTTGATCTTCCACTGGGTTCATTCTTTGGCAATAAAATTCTTGAATTTATCATCTAAAACTCTGGAAAAATTCTCAACTTCTTTCTTTGTTCTCTTAAAAAGTCTTGCTATTATTGGAGTAATATTTTGCAGTTCCTTTTTCTGCAAAAAAATATACAAAGTGCAAGTAAAAAAGAATTCTGTTGACATATTTGACACAAGTAAATGAATAAAACAATATATGATTTTTGAGTATTTAGAATTCTTTATGAAGACCGGTCCAGCAAAATCAATTCCACAGATTGCAAATGAGATGATTCTTGGATTTTCTCTTTAGGTAAGAGTGTCGCTATTTGGTCTGCTGTCTTGGCTAAGTTTTCTGGCAAATCAAGTAATTTTTTAATGTCTTTTTGACTAACTAGCATTTTTAGGGATCCAGAAACAACATCTAATTTTTGCTAAAGTCATAGCAGCACATCCATGCATTACCTTCTTTTGTTCTTTGTGTACAATTAGCATTGTCAGTCTGGAATTTTTAGATAGGCTAACTGTATGCTTATTATCAAGGAAGATGTCAGAAAATTTCAATCTTCCTCTCAATCTCACAATTCACTTTTCATTATTGTAAAGGAGAAAACTGTACAAAGAGTAATTTTTATCAATTGAATTACCTTCTTTTAGAGCTTTGTACTCTTCGGTAAAAAAATTTCTTTTGCTCAGATCTTATCAAAAAATTTTCTGCTTCTTGCAACTCCTCAGTTATGAAAGTTCCTTGAATATGACTAGTCTTTCTTCATTTTGCATATTGTCCAAGCAGTGACTCTTAACATCTTCTCTAAGTTGGTATATTTGGATATGTCAAGGAAATCATCTGTACTTTTGACTGCACATTCAAGTTGATGTAAATCACTAGATTTTTTCCAGTATTCCAATTTGTCTTTGTCTATTATTTCTATACTTAATTTTGGTCAAAGTTCAGAAGAGAGTTGAAGCCATTGTGGTCCTTGCCTACAAACAGACTCGTTTATTATAACTTCAAGATTTTCATTCCCCGAGATACATGATCTGTACAGTTGTTGGCACCTGGGAAGTAATGAAAATCTTGAAATGAGCTCAGTTTTTTTTTTATTTCTCTGACATGATTTTTGATAAAGTGTTTGGAGGTTTCAGGCAGCTTTTGGATACAAAAATAAGTAATTGTTGGGTCTGTCCAAAAATAGCATGGAATTTTCAATTTCAATGCTTTCAAAATATTGTTGCCTAACCTGACTGATAATTGGGCCACCTTGGCAAAGTGAGAGATTTTAGTGGGGCTACCCTATTCTTTGAAACAATAAAGGCAGTTTTAATTTCTTTATCATTTATTCTGAAATATTAGCATGCGACTGTACAATAGGCTTTTATACTTGCATCCAAGAATAATGTAATTCAAGATTTTCTATATTAAAGTTCAAGAGCATGAAAAATCAACAAGCAATGAAAAATTCAGCCATTTGAGGCAGCTCCTCACACCATTTTCTGCACTGAGAGGACAAATCTGAGGCAGCAGTTCATCTCACTCTATTTGTGATGACTAAATCTTCTGTATTAAGCTTCATTCTAAAATTTCTCTATTAAAAATTTATAGGATTTTCATCTGGAACGCCTTGTTTTACCCACAAATCATGTAGTTGTTTTGAGTTAGTGTGTCATTTGTGAAGCTGCATGCTTGCATCTTTAAAAATCTGCATTAATTCAAGAGCCACAATTAATACTTCACTAATTGCCCATTGACTTTCAATCACATCATCTACATATATGTTCTCATTCAAAAGGTTAAACATTGCAGGATAAAGTTCATTACATTTTTATAGGTGATGTTTAATGCTGGCCGCTAATGGAAATGGACTGCTGTTTATTCCAAATAAAATTCTATTGAACTTATGTATGTCACGAGAAATGGTTTCATCAGTCAGAAATTTGGAGAACAAAAACCTGATTGTGCATTGATCTTTTTCATGTATGGGAATTTGTATAAACTGTGTATAGGTTTGCTTATATCTGTGGTGAAAGCTATTGGATTGTACCTGAATCTTAAATTTCAAATATTTTTGGGTATACATTTGGTTCAACGTGTAGAGTCATTAAAAAACATCCAAGAACAATACTTCTATATTAGACTTACTTCAAACTGCAGAAGAGTATTTTTTAGTTCTTTGCACATAGCTTCCGATTTTTCATCTTTCTTTACTGTTGCTGCTGCAGCCTGCATGCCTATTCTAAAAGAACATGTAAAATACACATATTAGGAACTGACTTATAAATTTATACAGTACAAAGTCCGTAATCTGGACTCGTCGGGACTTTGGCGATTCTGGATTAGGGGTTTTTCCGGATTATAGATCATCAATTTAAATCTAGTAAGATGACATGCAAAAATTATACAATTAAAAATATGAAACCATAATTTATGAAATAAAGAGCAACTATGATCTAAAGGTATCAAAATTTACAAAAAAAAAAAAAAAAAAAAAAAAAAATTACATTTATTTGTTTACTTATTAAACATTTCTATCAATGTAAGTTGTTTTTAAGTTGCTTTCATTTCTTGTGTGTTTAATTCTTTAATTTATAAACAGACATAATTGTTCAGTTTGTCCAACTGTTCACGTCTGTAATTCTGTTTGAGAATACCGACTAACTTCTCAAAATTTTTTCATTTTTCAATACCTCTCTCACTTTCTTCCATATCCAGTATTTTCTAGACCGTCTGTGATTGATTGATGATTGGGGCATTGTTGTCGCAGTAAAAAAAACTTCTGTTATATCATCTTCATTTATTACCTGCTTCTCCACATTTCTTTATAAAATCCAATAACTGAAAATTCAGTTTAGTTTTGGGATGTCTGAAAACCTTCAAATTCGTGGCTATCATCTTCATCGTTCTCACCATGAAATACGGTAGCTGGCCATAAATTATGCCAAGCACTTTTTAACATATCTGGAGACACATCCTCCCAACACACATGCATAAAGCATACAAAAAAAAGTTCGTGGCTTTGAGGTCCGGATTATAGATCATTCCGGATAATGGACGTCTGGATTACGGACTTTGTACTGTATTTATGTTCATGAAATAGATGGGCCAACCTATTCTCGCACAGCTATTTCATGCTTGCATACGCACTGGTAAGCTTCTGAGATTGGCATGTACATCAAATCAATTTCAGTCCTTTGTTTTTATCTGAATTAGTGATAAAAACTCTTTCTTACAGATATGCAGTAACAAACTGCAAACACTCTATTTTATTTTCACTGATAATGGCATTTATTACTTTTAACATGAATACATTACATTAAAAAACTACTTTTAATAACAGCTAAAAAGTTATGTATTGCTTTTCTCGGCTAATCTTTGGAATATGGTAACAGGTAGTTTGGCGACATTTTGGTAAGGCGATAAAGGTTACTAGCTAGGACTTTAGCAGTGTACATGGATAAAGTCAAGAGTGTGCGCAATGCCATTTTTGTGCAATTCTGGGATGTTCTTTTAAGTGAAAATAGGTCGACGTGTACATGGATGATATCGTGTATGTGCAATTTTTAAAAACGCGGCAAGGAAGCTAGGACTTTAGCAGTGTACATGGATAAAGTGAAGAGTGTGCGCAAGGCCATTTTTGTGCAATTCTGGGATTTTTTTTAAGTGAAAATAGGTCGACGTGTACATGGATGATACCGTATATATGCAATTCTTAAAAACACGGCAAGCAGTGGGCGATTCTGCACTTTCTCCGAATCTCGCACATAATCTTCGTCATGATTAAGCACTTTTGTTCCATAAAAGTTCTAGTATAAGCGTAATTCGGCTATCAGATTGTTGGGGAAAATGTTGAGTAAAAGAAAAAACAAAAAAACATGCCTTTACTTTGTGAAAACAAAATGATGTCCAAAAAAAAAAAAAAAAAAACTAGCAGGTTGCTGTAGCAGGGTTAGTCACCAAATTTTCGCCAAAAAATAGCCAAGTTACCATAATCCAAAGATTAACTCTTTTTTCCTCTTCAATAAACTTTGCCTCAATAAAAAATTTAATTTATGTTTTCATGGTATGTCTAGTTTTCACTTTGTGCATAGAAAAATGCTTTTAACTTATTCTAAAATTCTGTAGGTGTCAGAGGAGTTCAGCAGTACCTCTTGTTCATTTGTATTTTCTATCTCCACAACAGTGGCGGCTCATAATAAGCACTGTGGAACAGCAGCACCTCCTATGTCCACTTATTATTATTTTTAATATTTAATATAGTGTGCCCTTTAGTCTTTAATTCTTTCTTTATACTTTTACAATACATAATCCTTAAGCTTAATGTCAGTAGCCATCCCCCACTTTGTGAAAAAGGTACGAAAGTTTTTGGACTGCCCGCTTCACAGTTCCAGCAACGTGGTGTTTGGCTGTTCTGCGCATGCGCACACAGAAACCAGCACTTGCAGTGCCGAAATTCTGACATGTTGCATGACACCTGATTTCTTTTTACTCCACGCGTGTGGTATTCCTCCACAAGGTGGAATTTCATCATATGAACCATAAACAGAGTTCATGAAAATTTGCAACTTTTAAAAAATTACCTTACTGAAATTCAGTCAACATCAAATGCAAATCAAACTATTGCAAAAGCAACAGGAATTTTAAAATATCTAAATGATGATAATTTCAAGTTCTGGTTAGATTTTTTAACAGATACCTCATGTTGAAATAATATACAACTAAATGCAATCCAAAGAAATTAGCATGCTTAAAGTTTTCAAAACTGCTATTTTAAAATTAAGAAACTCAAAGTACTGTAAGAATTTTTCAAAGACACTGATGGCAGAAGCTAAGGAAATATGTGACTTTACAACTATGTATTGATATAATGCACAGATATTCTTCCACTAAACACTTAGCAGCCACTAAATAATTTAACAAGAAATGCTTAGTTTTAGGAATGAACATTCTACAGAAGAAATAGTATTGACCACTGAAGCATATCCAATGACTGGCAAAGAAAAGCTTGAAACTGAACTAAAAGTATTCTATGGTAGGTCTGATATCCATGAATACTGCAAATTAATGAAAGCTACTGAAATTTATCTTCGAAAATAATCTAGATGATGTTCTTAGTGAAATTACGAAACTGATAAAAATTCTCTTGAGAGTTCCCATTAATACATCAGAGGCAGAACGCTGCTTTTCAACATTGAAAACTTTTCTAAGAAGCACTAGGAATTCGGAAAGACTAAATGCACTTGCATTGCTTTCAATAAAGAAAAATTTCCTCGGTTGTCATCCAGAGATCAAGGAGAAAATTATTGATCTTTTTGCGCAAATTAGAACAAGAGGAATGGATTTCATTTTTAAATGACTAGACAAAGATTGAACTGTAATAATTTTGATTAAAGTAATTAAGAAATGTTTAATTTTTTCTTGTAAGATTTAATGAAGTTTCAAAATAAATTTTCTTTTTATATATGTTTGTTTCCTTTTACATAAAAAACAAAGGTTAAATTTTTTTGGAGCAGCACTGCCCACTAATTTTAGCCGCGAGCCGCCAATGCTCCACAACTTCGTAGAATAAAACTAAAAAAATAATCCTAAAATTTAACAGGAATAAACTACTGAAAACTAACTGAAATAAATTTATTGCAACAAAATAATATAAGAAATGACACTAATAACATATGTAGCACTGGTAGCCACAAATAATGCATTTCTTTATTACTGTGCATCAAATTTACAATTCAACAGAATGATAAAATAAATATGTACGTCAATATATTTTTTAAAATAATCCATATACTGCTTAGGATCATGATTTAAAAAGCATTAATGCAGTAAAATGATAGTTCAGAGGACAAGAAATGATAGAAAAATAACATTAATGACATAGAACTCCATTCAGGAGCAAAAAAGATAAATGATACATGTGGGAAAACAACTGCAAAAATGATAGAATGATGTTCCACTGTATTTTTTTTTAATTAAACAAATTAAATTTAATTTAGAAAAAGTTTATGTTTGTCCTTTTCATTGTAAACTTTCTTAATTTTTAAATTAAGAAAGTTTACAATTACTCTTTTTTTTTTTTTTTTCTTAATCTAAGAATGCAGAGCTGCTTTTCTGAAATAATGAAATCTTTTCAAGAAATCCTTGAAATAATAAAACTGCAAATGCTTAAAGAAAACTAAACATAATCTTTTTTTTAAAATTATTTTGAAAAATAATAAATGTGATATTTTGATATTTACCAATACAACAAGAACAGATGAATCTCATCCGTCACCACAGAAAAATTACATAATAAAGATATTATTATATTAATTTTAAAAGTGGTTTAAAAATTCACACCTTTCTAAATCACATAAAAATTCTAAAATAAAACTGTAATCTGAATTGTTAACAACAGCCTACTATAATAAAAAACACAAGAGTTACTTTCATGTATTTATTTGTTTTACATTGAATGATTACTGACTACTCATCATTATGAAAATACCAACATAATCCATTGTATGTGCTGAAAAACCATCATGAAAATGTTAAAATTACCAGAAAAAGACATATCACATAGTTCTATAATATACACATAGCTCTTACTGTTTCGTGGATTTTAATAAAAACTCTTTATGAAAATAATATTCAAGGCTGATTCACATTTATGTTCACAAGACCCAAATGACCACAAGTGGATATTAGGGGTTTTGAGAAGATGCTATGCCCACGGCCCAGGCTCCGTTAATCGGGATTTCATAATTTCAAATAAAAAAATGCGGTAAAAGTTTACAATTGGGTGCCCCTTGTTTTTGGTGATTCATTTTTGATGCCACAAAGGCACAATTTCAAGATGGCCGCTACACAAAACCAAAATAAGAAGTCAAAGAATTGCACAAACTCCGTGTCCATGCACACATCGATCCGTTTTCACTTATAAAACTATCTGAATTGCAAAAACTAGGCATTGTGCACTGTCTTAAATATGTACATGTACACATCAATCTATTTTCATTAAAAAAAAATCAGTAAGCTAAAACAAAGTTAAAACTATCATGGTAACCAAAAATGAGGTTTTATCTCCAAAATTAAAAAAAAAAAAAAAAATTGTCCCAGGCTAAAATAAGTAACAATATATAATCAATTAAGGTTAAGCTTGGCAGAGGCGTAGTGCTGTTTTTCAGCGACTGGGGACAACTGAAGATTTTGCGCCCCTCTCTGTGTGCCACGAATGGAAAACAATTCATTTTAAAATTTCGTACCATCAATTTGGTGCCCCCTGGATGCTGCGCCCGGGGACAGATGTCCCCCTTTGCCTCACCCTAGCTACACCACTGAAGCTTGGTTCTTTTGATTATGGGATAGCACAAGAGGTCTAAGGGCGATACGCCACATAGAGGGCTCGTTACGCACAACTACAGTGGTGGCCAAAATTGTGGACACTTCTGGAAATTTTTATGTTTTTGAACTTTGCATGCTTATAGAAAATGTCACGTTTCGCAAAATGCAAACTTGTATATATCATTTTAAAGAGAATTTATTACTGAATTCAATACAAAACACAAAATTCAATTATTTGCAATACAAAAAAAGTTATATGTACTTTAATATAAATAAAAATCACAGTTATGAAGTGGTTTCTAATGTCTAGCTTTCCTGGCCAATCACTGTTCTTGTTCTGAGAACCAATCAAATGTTAGTAACTGCCAGTAAAAGCTGACATCATGTTTCCACTTGAAACAATTCCTTATTTTGCTTTGTTCTGTAGAAGGAGGACCTGTTTCTTATACACTGCAATTACAAGTAGGAATTCTTGTAAAAATTTTTAATATTTAGTTAAGAAGCAATGACATCAAATAAAAGATTAGATTGGACACCTAGAAAGAGATATAATATTATTGTGTTACGAGAAAGTAGTCTTTCCTATGCTGAAATTGCAAGACAGGTGGGTGGTTCAGTGACTACATCTGGAGTCCGAAAGTTTTGTTTACAATATCAAGAGACAAATTCAATAAAAAAAACAAAGAAGGAAAAGGAAAAGGCCGAAAAAAGGTGCACCACATCTATTGATGACAGAAGAATAAAAAGACTATCTCCAAGATAGAAAAATGTCATCAGCGGCCATCAGAAGTGATCTGAATGATGGTGGTGTTTCTGTCAATTCAAGAACAATCAGGAGAAGATTAACAGATGTTGGACTGAGAGGTAGAATTCCACAAAAAAAGCCTTATCTTAATTTTCAGCAACGGAAAAAAAAAAAGACTACAGTGGGCAAAAGAACACATTAATTGGACAGATGATCAGTGGTCACAAGTTATATGGAGTGATGAAACTAAGATATCGTTATTTGGTAGTGATGGGTGAAAATATGCAAGACGTAGAATAGGAGAAGAGCTACATCCTGACTGCATTCAAGCAACTGTGAAGAACCCAGTTAGTGTTATGATTTGGTCATGCATGTCAGGAGATAGTATTGGTCGCCTTCATGTCATCAATGGGACACTGAATGCCAGAAAAAAACATTGACATAGAAAATACATGACACTATTCTAGAACCAAAACTTCTACCTTCCATCAGAGATCTCTTTCCCAACAATGCTTCGTTTATTTTTCAGCAGGATTCTGCTCCTTGCCACACGGCCAAAATATCGAAAGAGTGGTTTTGTACAAAGAGCATTAAATTGTTGTCATGGCCAGGAAACAGTCCTGACCTCAATCCTATCGAAAATTTGTGGCACCGTTTGAAGACTCTAGTCCGAATGAGGCGCCCATCAAATAAAAGGAAACTAATTGAGGCTATAATTGTTTCCTGGCATCATGTAACAACGAAAGAAGAGCTTAAAACTCTTGTCAGCTCAATGAAACGTCGATGTGAAGCATCTGTAATAAAAATAAAGGGTACCCTACTCAGTACTGATAACTCACTGCAATCATCACTATCTAGTGTATATCAATAAGTTTGAATTTTGTGTTTTGTATTGAATTCAGGGAAGCACCTCCACAGAGAACCCGGTAAATGTAAACATCGCCAACTTTGGCGATAATAGTTCAAACCTGGTAACCCAGCAGATTTATCCTATTCGCTTGTTTGAAGTTTGCAACCATTCCTCTTGGGTTCATTTTGTTGAATTATCACTGTCGTTCGCATTTGCAGCTTTATATTATTCTTCTCTTATTTATTATTATTTTTTCTGAATTTGTTAGATGAATGATGAACGAATGGATAGAAATATTTTCGTAGATAGATGCCGGTTCTCGGTTCGGGATGAAAGGAAGAAAGTACGGCGGGAGGGGTGAATGTTAATTTGTAACACGGCTGTTCACGTTGTGTTCTTATTAACAGCTCTAAGAACCAGCAATTTAAATAACTAAGTAATGCTTTTATTTTTATTATTGGTTATTGTCATCTAAAATGAGAATAAATCAATTTCCTGGCTTAAATTTTAACAATATATTGTTAATGCTTTTCTAACAATAACATTTCAGAGGATGGCTGGTGTGACATAAATAGATGATTAAATTGAAATAAAAAATATTATTGATTATCTAAGATGACGGAATAGGTTGATGCATCACTATGGTCATCAAAATTAGCAAACCACTGCTGGTGTAAGGAATATATTGTTTTCTGTATTAACTGGAATTTAAGACAAATTTTTTTCGTTTATCACATTTAACCGGTTAATTTCAGTACATTAATACTAATTTATATTTTTCAAATGAATTTTTATTTCCATTATAAATGCTTTTTTATTGTCTTATACTTAATATATTCTTTTCTGTGCTAACTTGAATTTAATACAAATTTATTTAGTATATCACATTTAACCAGTTAGTTTTGCATATACATGCTTATTATCTGTGAATTTTTACTACCATATGCTAAATATATTGTTTTGTCTGCTAACTTGAATTTACATGCACTAAAAATCACGTTTACAAAATATCACGTTTACAGCTAGGCTCATCGCCGATGAAACACGAGCTTGGCGAGTAAAAATGCAATGGCACCAACGGGTTATCTGCGGATGAAAACCCGAATTCAGTAATAAATTCTCTTTAAAATGATAAATATACAAGTTTGCATTTTGTGAAAAGTAATGTGGTTTAATCCTAGTATCCGGTGCACACGGGATTTGGCGACTTTATGATGAGCAGTAAAAATGGGACATATACGATGAGTACTTAACGGGTCATTCAAAGAAAATATATAGTTAAACATAGTATACACTATGTATATAGTATATATACTATGTATAATAGTATATATACTATGTATATACACACACAGTATACAGTATATAGTATATATATAGATGTTCTTTGGATCATTTTTGGTGTTGGCGATAATTTTCAAAGTCGCGCCAAGGCTGCACCGTAAACTAGGATTTTACCCGTAACTTTTTCTATTAGCATACAAAGTTCAAAAACATAAAAATTTCCAAAAGTGTCCACAATTTTGGCCACCACTGTAGTATTCAGAACACACGGAAAACAAAACAAAACAAAACAAAAAAACTTCCTTCGTACAGCCCGTTTGCGAAGATTTCAATTCACATTGAACCATCAGCGTTTAGCAGTCTAACTACTGAGTAAGATTTACATTTTTGAATAGGAAAGTGCACCTGGATGTTGTATAGCTTATTTTTATTAAAAATACGGCTATTAATGGCATACGGCTTATATTATTTTATATCAGTAATCTTGGTTGCGTACAATGGATAATGCAGAATTTAATCCTAGATTTTATTTGAAATGCCCAGGAACAACATATTGAATAAAAAATAAAAGTTTAGCATTTTGAAGGAAAAAAACGAAACCAGTTGCTTGTATATACATCACATCACATCAACAAACAACCTTAACAAAATTCTTTTAAAACATGCAGTGACAGTTGAATTTTATTGAAATTTCACACTAAATAAAACAAGGTTCCTTGAACACAAAGCAAAACAACAAACCTTAACTATAAACAAACAAATCTCTAAATTCTTATTCACGCTTACACATCAAATACGATAATATATAATCAGAGCACGAAATTTAATGCTTCCACAAAAAAATACATAACTGCTTTTTTAAGCAGTTATGTATTTTTTTATAATTTATTAAAGGTTACAATAACCTTTCAGAGGATGGCTGGTGTGACATAAATAGATGATTAAATTCGAGAAAAAAACGAAACCAGTTGTTTGTATATACATCACATCACATCAACAAACAACCTTAACAAAATTCTTTTAAAACATGCAGTGACAGTTGAATTTTATTGAAATTTCACACTAAATAAAACAAGGTTCCTTGAACACAACGCAAAACAACAAACCTTAACTATAAACAAACAAATCTCTAAATTCTTATTCACGCTTACACATCAAATACGATAATATATAATCAGAGCACGAAATTTAATGCTTCCACAAAAAAATACTATTTTTTATAATTTATTAAAGGTTACAATAACCTTTCTTGGATTTTTATCCAAGTGCATTCTCTTTTTATTAAAGAATATAAAATATAACATTATTATATAGCTTTTCGCCTTCTCTGTTAATATGAACACACTCTATGAATTTTTCAAATGAGAAAATAATTAAATTAATGATTTTTGTAAACGAAAAACAATTTGACAAGCATATTTAACATTACGAACAAATGGCAACACGGTTTGTAAAAATTGACAAAATAAACATTTGCCTGGAGTTTGTGAGTTATGCAATTCAGTTTTGCCGTCAAAAAGGGGTTCTGAAGCAATAAAAAGATGTTAGTAAGCCGAAGATGTTTCGTGTCTTGATGATGGGGGTTGACCATGATGGTTTAGTCAGGCGTAGATCATCGTAGAGTATACGGCCTTAAAGGGCCTTAACTTCCATATAAGCTCGCAATCCGTAGGCAATCAAAAATAAAAATTTGATTAACGGAATGACATCGGTGCAATTTAATGCAGAAACTCCGGAGAGAAAACAGTAGCTAACTGACAGGTATCGCCATCAAATGTAGGTAGAAACATTTTGAGAAAAACATAAAAATAAATTAAAACAGAGAAAATATTCTTGATAAAATGTACTGTACAGTATCGAAAACATAAAAGCAAAATAAAAATATGCAGAACAAGAGAGTTTTAGTTGGAATTCGAACGCGCGACCTTGTGGTAGCCAGTCAGGTGCTCAAATCACTAGGCTAAAGGTGGTAACAGAAGTTAAAACATGAAGTATTCCAGTAGACTCTTTTTATTACTACTTAATCTTACCAACTTGTATTTAAGTTCTTCATGCCATTATTTATATCTAGATTAACTGTTTGCCCACTATTTTCTGCATTGCATGTAAGTAATTACTTCGAGTTTCATCCTGTAATGGATAATTATTGAAATGGATTACAAAATGGATTTCTTCCATATTTTATACTTGGTAAAAGTTTACAATTGGGTGTCCCTTGTTTATTGGCTTTTCTGTTTTTGGACGCCAAGATCGGCGCCAGGAAAGCGCAATTTCAAGATGGACACTACACAAAACCAAAATAAGAAGTCAAAGAATTGCACAAACTCTGTGTCCATGTACACATTGATCTTTTTTCACTTAAAAAAAATCCCAGAATTGCACAAACTAGGCATTGCACACTGCCTTACATAAATTTATTTTCATTTTAAAAAAATCAGGAAGCTAAAACAAAGTTAAAACTATCATAGTAACCAGAAATGAGATTTCATTGCCAAAATTTTAAAAACATTTGTCGCTAATCGAAGGGGCAGCCAATTCTACACTAGAACGTCATACTTCTTCCTAAAACTCTGACTTTAGAGTTCAATATTTTTTAACCAAACATGTTGCACATGTCATGAAAATATGTCAGTTGTATAACAAAAAATTATCTACTTCAAAAAGAAAACAAAAACTGCATTGTATTATGCCTATTGACGTGAAAATTTTTGTTTTCAGATTTGGAAGTCTTTCTTAATAGCACTGGTAAGACCAGTAAAAGTTTCGGAATTAGATTGTCAGGCTCTGCCTGCAAGCATTTTAATCAAACATAATTTCCTGAATAATCCCAAATTCATGATAAATAATGCACAAACTTGGTAATTTTTCAAGTGACTGCCAAAGGCCAAAGAGCATCACTATCCAGTTTAAAACCACAATGGTTGTATGCCTGTTATAGATTTTGTAAAGACAGAAGATTCGGCACAAATAAATGATGGAAGCATCCCATGTGACACCAAAATTAAATATTTGGAAGTCACATTAGATGAATATCAACTTTCAAAGCTCATATTGAAAATATTGGAGATAGAGCCCTCAAAGCTTTAATAAATCTTTATCCCATTATTGGCAGAAATTCTAACTCTCTATTAATATCAAAAGAACAGCGTACATACAACTTACCCACTCTATTATGCTTCACAATGAAAAGATTATATAAGATATGTATTGTTTTGTTTTAATTAAAAAATGAAAAAATAGATCAGATCACTTCATTGGAGTGGCCAAAATTAACTTGTACAATGAAACAAATTCAAAACAAATGTTAAAGATATAAATTTATATCTGATTATGGATTATAAATTCAGCCCCAAATAGGAATTATATGAGTTGTATCCGGAACTGAAGAAGTATTGATTCATGCTAATAATATGTGCTACTTTTCTGTTTTCTGGGTACAGAATACTTGATCCTGGTAGACCTTTTATGTTTATTGCATTTAATTCACCAGGTTTTATTTATGCTTTAGATTTTTTATTCAAGTTCTTCCAATGTTTTATCCAAGTTTTATTTATGTGATAGTTATTAAAAGTTTTGTTGTGGGTCACTAGGTTCAAGTATTCTGGTAGCGTAAAAAAGTACCTAACATGCATTTTGAAAAAGTGTGTAACTGTTTTGTAAGAGATTTTTTATCTTCTGTCATTTCCATGAGAGCATCAGATGACTCAAAACAGCATTATACACAGAAAAAATAAAAAAATTATAAAAGAAGCATTTTTAATTTTTGGTAATAAAATGTCAATTCTTCTCTTTAAGTTCAAAATGTGTAAATGAGCAAATGAATAAATTTATAAAACATCAAAGAAGATAGCATGATAATTTTTAAAGGGTTTATTGTATTTAATTAAAAAAAGAAGTTTGGAATCTTCACTATTTTATTAATTTTGTTTGTGAAGACTGTTACTGTTAATTTGAATTTTTGTGTACGAAACTCGATACAACACTTCCCATAGGAGTGTGAAACAAGCTGTCTTAGTTGAACCTAGAGCATTCTTAACATTATCTCCAGCATTCCTAGTACTGGGTTGAGTAGTAGTTTTCTCCATGTGTAATATGAATATGAGCTGCCCCTCAGAAAGTTCTCCATGAGGGCATCCTATCGGTTAAACAGATAGTCCTCGTGGCTTTGCCACATTCAAAATAACCAAACCTAATCTCCTAATACTGGGAGACTTCAGTCTTCATTAAATTATCGGAGCATGCAAGTATGTAAGTTGTATGTTTCATCCATAAAACTGTGTTTGCAGTTGTTCACAAGTGTTTAAAACATTTTTTAGTACTTTCTTATTATCTGGGCTTGCATGAAAAGTTTTTCAGTTCATTGCCAACTTTGTGAATTGTCTAAAAACATTTGTTTGGCTATCTTTACTGCTCATAGGAATTATTCTGTTGATAAATAATAATAAAAAGACACATTTTATATGAAACGAATTTTTTTTTGAAAACAAAAGGAAAGTCTGTATAATTAGTATTTACATTTTTACTGCTCAAATATTGCTAAACAAAATGACCGTTAAGTATCAAGAATGTAAATCCACATCCACTCAGATACATATATAAATGAAAAATTATGTATTGTGTCAAAAAATGGGCAGCTCTAACAAACGGTGAAATCAGGGTTACAGATCCATTTCTCTAAATGATTTGTTTCACTGTTTTTGAAACCAGTGAATGGTAAAATCCTAGTATACGGTATAATCTTGGCGTGATTTTGAAAATTGTCCCCAACACTTACAATTTTGACAAATCCTGTGTGTACCGTATATTAGGATTAAATCTTAATGAACTTTGTTTTTATATCCAAGTAAGCTCACGTTTTTATGCTCCAGTAGGTTCTTTATGTTAACTAAAAAGTTATTGTTTTTACAAATTATGAAAGTTGTCATCTGTACTAAAGATATGATATAAGTAAGATATATCATAAAGTGATTGTAAAAACCAGCTTTTATATTCCATCTCTAAAAAGTTAAAATTTCTTACATTTTTATGTGAATATTCCAAACTTTGTCTTCTGGCTTGCAGTAGCTTAAAATTAATCAGTTATGTTTATTTGAAATGACATTTATACTGTTAATTTAATTTCTTAATGTTCCATAACTGTACCATGTTTGTACATAATCTAATAATTTCCTTGTTCTTGATTAGCAAGCCACCTTAGATAGTGTAGTGGTTAGCGGAGACTGACTGATTGCCATTTTTTAACTGGGTTTAGATTTAATCCCCGATCAGATATAGGTATTTATGTTTAAAGTGTCTCTGCGGCAGGGAGGTATTTAAAATATGTTAAGATAGAAATTATCTTGGGAAGTCTGTAAATTAGCAGATGTGCTAGATGCTTGAATTTCATCTTTCTAGGCATTTGTATGAACACTTGTTACAAGGCAGGTAGATTTTCATTACTGCAATACAAAGTCTGAGGTATGGAATCGTTGGGACTTCGGCATTTCTGATTTCCGGAAATCCTGCTATCAGTTCTTACTAACATCATTAGATGGTGCTGTGTTTGTTTACTCTTTCAAACAGTTTAGAACTCTCCAGAACAGTGTAGCGTTTTTACAGCAGAATTTAAGAGTGTTTTCTGTTTTTCGCAAATGTTTCAAACATGCTGAAAAATTTGATCAAAATGGATGGGCAGTTTCTGAAAAAAAAAAAAAAAAAAAAAAAAAAAAAAAAAAAAAAAAAAAAAAAAAAAAAAATACAAAAAAAAAAAAAAAAAAAAAAAAAAAAAAAAAAAAAAAAAAAAAAAAAAAAAAAAAAAAAAAAAAAAAAAAAAAAAAAAAAAAAAAGACGTAACTTATAATAAAGCAAGTATCACTTTTTACTAAAATCATTACTTGAGATTTTGGGGAAAAGATACCCTTATTATTCTAAATCAGGGGTGTCAAAATGGCAGCTTGCGTGTGTCCACCAAAGCAATATTATGCAATCTGTGAATTATGTATTATATAATACTCCAATTATGTATTTATTGCAAATACAGTATTACAAAGATTTTAAGACATTAGTTATTTGAAGTTTGAGTTTATATTAGTATTTTCATTTTCATTAAAAACAAATGTGCCAGAAAATCTATAAATAAATTTACAATGTTGTAAAGATTTCAAGATATGAATTTTGTTAACTTTGACAAGTTTCTACTTGTCAAAAAATAAATAAGGTCAGTTACAAGCATTTGCACAAGAATAATCGTTTTGTTTGAGAATACATGAACAGCCTTTTTTCAGAGTTGAAAATTGATAATAAAAGAACTTGATTGGCATCTACAATCCATGATAAAGATAAATTTCAGTAATTTCTCTCCAAGGTTACAAACTATATTAGAATCTAATACCAAGAAGTACCAAGGTGTAATAAGAAATAAAGAGTTTATAAGTATTTGCTTACAAAAATATGTATTTAAATTTATGTGCTAAAGAAAAATTTAATAAATAAGGGAAACAAATTAGTTCATTATTTATTCTCAAGTTTTTTCCCACTTAGAGTTGTTTCTCTGAAAACTTTGAAATTTTTCTTAATTGTGTTTGTTTAATTTTAAGTAAATTATTTACTGATTAATTAAACATGTTAGAGTTATTTAAATGAAATGCAAGTCTCAGAATTTAATATTTATCTGTCAGTATGTTTGAATTATAAAATGTAACCAACAGATATCTCTGGCAAGTACCAAACTTTAGATTTCAAATACAAGATAAAGATAAATTTGAATTTTTCCCCCTTTATGATATTATTATTATTGT